TGCCCCCCCTCACTAACAGTTGGATAATAAATATAATATGGCTATATATAGCCCTTAATAGGACCCCTAATATAGACTGTTACTGGGTGGGGGCAGTACCCAAGGTTTAGGGTTTCAGGTTTCGGGTGCCGGGTCTGAGTCTAGGGTTGCGGGTTTAGGGTTTAGGGATACTACTATAATTAGTATTAAGAATAGTCTTAACATGGTCACTATTCTTATTAGCAGTATGAGTGTGTGAATAGTAATACTATGCTTGCTTTCTGGTATTGCTCTGAAGCTTTTCTGGATCCTAAACTGCAGTGTGAACGAGCCTTAGTCCGGGCTCGTGATGGTTGAGCTGGATTCTACACTTTCTGCCAGTACTCACACAGGGTTATTGCAAAATCTGCGCGGTCAAGATTGGGTCTCAGTTCAACCTCATGTTGAATCGGTGATCCCGTGCGGGGTGCTTCTTCTGGACACTTGCGATGGTCCATTTTGGTATCTCCACACAACAGCTTACTTGAGGAGCCCGAAAACTTAAGCACACCAAACCTTCAAAAAGCATCGTGAAGCCTGAATTCTGCCTGTATGATCACCGTGTGAAGAAGGCGTATGGGGACGCGGGACCCCCCAAAAACTGGTTGCTGTCAAGGTGGCCGCCGCAGGTGCCGTGCTGACGGCGCCCGAGGCGGCGCACGCGCGGCTGCCCGAGGAGATCGGTCCAAAATCATGATTATCCCAGAAAATGAGTCCACCCACTATCCTAACATTGAATATTCTATAAATCAACTCCCGGCAAAAGCTGTTCTTTAGGGGCTTCGGCGTTCAATTCTTGGGTGCTGAGGAGGATTTGGTTTGTACGATAGTTCCTTTCTGTACCATCATTGTTGGGCTTTTTATTGCTAGATGCCTTTGGCTTGAGGCCGCGCTGTTCATTCCAAGACTTCGTTGGAGCACACTCTTCATGCCCTGAGTGCCGACCATGTGAGGAGTTTGTCATCTTTGCGCCAATTGTGGACGTGCTGCCGGTTGCTCCGCCCAATGATTGGGTTTCAGAATGCCTTCTGGGTCTTGCAAGGTTTGGAGTGCTCCTCAGGAAGGAAGTGTCAATTTGTTTGGGCAGCAGTCTCAGAACAGTCCTGCAGACACTATTACAGCAAGCAAAAGGGATACTAGGAGTTTAGATGATAGCTCATACAAGCAACATAGGTAAACCCATTGTTGGTCAACTCCTGTGCCGCACGGCACATAGATCTGCGCATCATGGAAGATGATCTGGGAGGCCTCAAGTCCAACTGCAGGCATTAATGTTACGATTTAGGGTTTAGGGTTTAGGGAGAAGGGGGTAATGCTAATAAATTCTCCTACTTTTTTCTGCTGCTGGTTCATAGCCAGGCATTTGGATGGTAGGGCCTGCAACCCCTGGAAGCCACACAACTTGCCCACGGACCCCAACTCCAAATACTAAAGAACATGATAGTTTCTGTTTCTTTCGCCTTGTATCAACCTTCTTACAGATATCATTACTAAGTCGTAAAGCCCTAAACAGTAGTTTACATCTTCCTGTCCATTCTTATTGCCACTAGTAACTATTCTCGTTCATGGTGATGGAAAGCAAAATGGTAGTTTCCCAAAATAAGGGGACCCCAATAGACCCCAATATACTATAGTCCTTAGGATGGGGACCCCCAAATTGGTACCCCTAATTCTGGGAAACCCCCAAACCCCATGCCCTACACCTTATACATCCTCATAATACCCTTACTGTATACAGTATGGCATATAGTGTATTATAGTCTGTAATTTTGGGAAATCCACACATGGCAGATCCTGCCCATCTTCTTCTTCCTCTTGGCCTTCCTGTGGCAGGCCCGTGAGCCTCCAGAGACGGTTCGGGTTGGCCAACTAAGCAAGTTTTAGCGTGTAATTAACCAAGAGAAAAAAGGGGGTATGTGGGGGATATATTGGGGACGTATAGGGGATATAGTTTCAGCGTGTAATTATAGTCCCTCTTAAGTAGATACAATATGGGGTATATCAGGATCTTATTATAATATATCCAGAGCCATATTATATCTGCATAAGGGGGATTATAACAATGTGAACAATTCAGTTGACGAACACAGATAGCTGGGGTAACTTCGCAACATACTTACCGCACCGTCTAGTGGCCAGAAACGTAAAGAATGGGCTTTTGTAGGCCTATACAGTGCCCTAAACGCTGGTGGAGCACAGCAGTGAAGCCGCCGAGAAAGCATAAGCTTTCCGTGAACCCCTCAGCTGCCAAACGGCTTTCTGCTGCAAAGTGAGAGCTTCAAGTTTTGGTTTGGATGAGCATGAGGGTTCAGGCTTCCAAACATAGGCGCCATGTAAGCAGCTTGTAAGGAGCTTGGGATGTGATGGGTGCCTCTGTACAAGCAGGGACCATAAACCTTAGGACCGCCCAGACACAGGTTGAAGAGGGATTTCAGAGGATTCCAGACCCTTTGCCCATGAGGTGTCACTGACAACATTTCTACCGCGTGTACCGTAAGCCTTGCATCATATCCTTCAGACATCAGCTTCTGATGAGTTTAGATGGTCTGTGACCCCTTATTGGCTGTTAGTAGGGAAAGGAGGAATGGATGGATCCGCATAATAGTCGCTAGAGTCTAATAGCATGGTACTTTCATTTTTCTCTTCCATTCCCTTACCCTAAAGGTTTCCAGTTTCTATTCCATTCTCTTTTCTCCTTACTGCCAACCAGCAAGACTCTGAAGCCAGGCAGCCGTCGGCTTCCGCTGAGCGGAGACATGACGAGGACTGCTTCATGCGGACGGCACTTAGTTTGGGAAAATCGGACGATGGGCAAATATTAGTCCGATGATGTGCCTTTTCCAAGGAAGTGCGTCTCGGGGAACCATGAACACAAGACACTTCATTTGCGCAGCTGGCTTGCGCAGACGGCAAGAATTCTGGGTATGTTCTGAGATCATGGTTTCGGATGGGCTACTACAATAGGCATGCGGGGAAAGCGTAGAAGTTTCTGAAATACCTGGGCCCCTTCTTGGCGTTTTCCGATGTTGTGAAACCCTAGACCTCTGGCAATTTTGGAAATGCATCAATAAGTAGGATCCTGAACTCAATGGAGGGGGCCGCCGATGATGGCTTCTCATCCAAGATTAGCTACATATATTCCCCTGTAGGTTGAAGCAGATAGTTGCATGTCTTGGGAAATCCTCACTCTGTGGTGCTCTTCCAACCTGTCTATGTACGATGTACTTATTGCGGGTGCGGGTGAGTGTACATGCACACACGCACCTAGTGGGCCCCCGAGAATCTTGGTAAGCTCACCATGGAATGCCCATGTGGGGGAGGATATTAAATCGCCAGGACCGTGAGGTTTTTCTGCCCCGCAGCGTGACCTAGCCCAGCAATGCTGGAAGAGAAGCCACCTGCGGAAAAGAATCTCGGAATTTGGGCAATTCAGGTATTGTCCTTTGAATACGTATGAAGCATTCCTTGTACTGTATATATATATATAGATAGAGATGGCTATACATACACGATTGTCAGCATCACTGTCATAAAGGTGCATCTACCTCTGTCAGATTTGTTGGTTTTTGATCAGCCGAATCGGGCAGGAGGGCAGTGCCTCGCCAGAAGCTAGGTGATCATCTGCAAATCCTTACAACAGGCCATGAGTGCCCAAGCTGACAGCACCAATACTTTTTCTCTGGGCGTCTAGTTCCTGCTATTGAGCGTTGCAGGCAAAGGGAGGAGTGAATGCAAACTCCTGTACCGGGGTAGTAAATCTGATAGGCTATCACAAGGCTTGCAGAGCCATCCTCTTATATAATGCGATTTCACATGATTTCGATACGAAGGTCGTCGCTCATGACATGTCTGGGCTCAAGCGTGGGGTCGAGTCCCAGCCAGCTGTCCGCACCATCCAGCACGCGTCCGCAAGAAGACAAGTATGGCACGCCGCGTCTTGGCTAGATTATGCGGACAGAATTGGGATGGTCTGACTCGGGATCATATTTTGGTGTCGGTGAGTGTATGTCAACGGTGTAAGAATCTTGGGAGTGCTTTTTTTGGGCTTTAGGATGACCCATCTCCCGCAGGTTTCAAGATTACTTATACAGATTGCCGAGAGGCATTTCCGAAACGACCTGACAGTGGCCTTTTGGCTGTGTCTTAAAGTTTCAAGGCAACTTCTGTCTACACGGCGGGGCCCCAATCTGTTACTACTAGGAAATTTAGGTGGGACCAAGGAAGGTGGCCCAGATTTAAAACCTCAAAACCCGAGGCCGAAGCCATAGACCGGGAGGCAGTTTCTTAAATCATTCATCTTTTAGCCTTGAGACATCCCCATGCTCCCCAAACCCTAGACCCTAAAGCCCTCCCTGCCTAAAGATCCCCAGGCTGGAAGACAGTCAAATGGGTCTGATAAACAGAATCCACAGCTCCACATTGATACCTCTGTCCTCGGTTGCTGTTATTGAACTTATTTCAAGTTACTATAATGGCAGAAACGTATTCATTACTATATGATAACTTAATTCAAGTTCCTTAACAGCAACCCAGTGTAGCGAAACGCTTGGATCAGGCTCCAGCATCCTGATTATTGTGGCCGCCTTGGCGGCCCTCTGCCTCCTCCAGATTCCCGGTGCAACATTTTAGGTGGACCCCCCACTCAGTAATACTTGTAGCAACTAAGACGGATAATGGTGATTATGTTAGGGCCTTCTTATATTCCTATTATACCACTATTGCACGGGGCGTTCCACCTAAGCAACATTCTTTTGTAAGGTTGTTGGGGACGTACACGAATTGGGGCCAAATGAGGATTATAAGCTTGACAACCCCCTCATGGGAATGGCAGGGGGGAACAGGGCGGGTAACACCTCCTGCGCAGGTTTTATGCCGTCCTAGACCCTCCATCTTCTCCAGTGGATGTGGGAGGGTTGATTGTTTACTTTTTGGGTGGTTCGGGGGTTGGGGAGGAATAGCAGGAAAACAAAAAGCCCAGCTGCGCGGAATTCTGACTTCACGGAGGAGCAGGCCTTCATGAGCCGCTTACATTTGATTATCTTCGATCTTCTACTCCAAATCTATGGACCTCGCAGCTTAGGAACGCTTTTGTCAGCCCCAGCAGCCAGAACCTGCGTGGAGAGGCGCGCAGGAGGAGGATTGGGGGCAGCTCAGTGTTGATGATTTTGGGCTTCTGGGTTCAACGCATGAGGGGCTGAGGGTCCATGAGAGGAGGTGTTGAGGGTTCGTGGAATTTCGACGATGGAGAGCAGTGGGGGTGGGGTGTGCAGGTCTTTGGCTCCATAGCTTGCAGTCAGCCTTCTAGAATCCATTTAACAACAGCCCCACCCCACCTCCTCCTAATACACATTCATATTCCCTTACCAGGAAAAGGTACCACAAGCGGGGCATTAATTTTTTAGGGTGGTGGGTGGTCACAATTAGCAGAACTCTTACAAGCTCTGGTCAGGCCCTAGAGGTTGTGCATATCCTGATAGGGTTTGACGTTCAGGGATATGTAGGGATAATATAGAGATATGCAGAGATTATGCAGGCATATATAGCGTTTGGGGGCCTTATCGCAAGTAGAGTACTGGAAGGTTTTCATTGAACAGGTACCAAAAAATAAATGGAAGCTGGGTTGGATCTCAGACTTTGGACCTAGACGCTATCACCAAGATAAGCTTCCAAGCTTCGCCCTCCTCTCGAATGGAAGCCTGTCGGCCATTCTGGATGGGTGTTCAAAAGTGTTCTTCTACATGAAAGGGGACGTAGCCGACGTAGCCATCCCCAACCGAAATCCCAAAACACTAAAGCCTTATCCCCCAACTCTCAAACTCCAACCCCATAAACTCCAACCCCATAAACCCTAAACCCCTAAACCCTAAACCCCTAAACCCCTAAACCCTTAAACCCTAAACCCTAAACCCTAAACCCAAAAAACCGGGAACCACTGGCAAAATGAGGTCTCTCAGGATGTCGCCAAGGCTGCCGCAGTGGGAGCTGTGCTGGCCACTCCGGAGGCCGCGCACGCCCGGCTGCCCGAGGAGCCCAGCTGCGTAGTGGTGCTTTAAGGGGGAAACTACAGGGATTATGGGGTTGTATAGGGGTTTTAGGGTATATAGAGTAGTGAGGGAACCTAGAATACTACAGATGCTGCTCAAAATCTTGTAGGACTTTGGTACAACGCAGTACCATCTTTCCGAAGGTTAAGGGTACTGGAGGGCATGCAGGATTGTTGGTATCCACCGTATTACAGGGGATCCTATAGAAATCATTGTAGCGATCCACTCCCCCCCTTCGAAGGAAGCACCAATCAGGCCAGGTGGTCTTTTCTCCGAGATCCTGCCGCCCCTGTCGTCTGGATGCTTTTCATTCTTTGGTTTCATGATCCGTCCCTAAACCCTAAACCTAGACAGGTAGGGTTTCAAGTTTCAAGACAGCCTTTGAGGTCGAAAAGGTGCAGAGAGTCAGAGTTTGCGATTCAGAGCAGATTATGTGAGCGTTCAAGGCCTACGGGTGACAGTTCAGGGAAGACTTGGAGGTTAGCGTTGAGGGTTTAGGTTTTAGGGTTTAGGATACTTACGACACCAAATATAGTATGACTATCACTATTGTCATTATTATTGTTGTTGTTATTAGTATGTATCGACCAATTAGAAGCCCCGAAGTTTCCCAATATGGTGCCAATTGTGTGAAAGGTATCAGTTGTAATTGGGTTTAAATACTTGAATCTCCGAGGACTGGATCCGATTGACCTGTCATACAGGCTCAGAGCCAAGCACAAGCCTCTCAAGTCCAGCTACTGATGTGTATTACTTGTGCTGTTGCCATCATGCAGTCAGTTACGTGGTGTTCTCCGTCTCTGTATCTCTGGTTCTAAAGCGTGCGTACTTCAGGGCTCAGTGCCAAATGCATGAGAACAAAAAATGTTCATGGGCTTGGCGCTGAAGTTCTTTCTTGTCATATCTAGCATGCTGCTGGTGTTGTGGGATGCGGGGCGTTGTGTACAGGAGTTCGTGATCTTTGCCCCGATCGTGGATGTGCTCCCAGCCGCCTGCTGAGAACATGCCGGTCTGATTCCAGCACAAAGCTAGCTTTCTCCTTGTAATCGAGAAACGTTCCTTGCATGGGTGTCAAGAATGAAGTTGAAATGCTTATCAATTCAGGTTACTGTTTTTGGGCTGACCCTTGGGGGTTTCAGGTTGCAGATGGCTTGGGGATTAGCTGTCCTACCCCGACATGCTCTGTATTTGTGGCGGCTTGAAAGTGAGCTTCTTTATTTGTTCGTCATCATCTCTGTTGCGCAACACTTGCAGCTTGCGTCAGTGAGCTTTTGTCCTTTTCTTGGTGGGATTCAGTCGGCTTTCCAGAGCAAGAGCAAACTTGTTGTCGTCAAGGTTAGGAAGGCCCCGATAACAAAACGATCTCACGCAAGCCGTATATTGTGCAGGCAGTGGGATTTGCAGAAGTTCAACATGCGGTCCCCTAAACCCTAAACCATGATTTTGACGACACCAGAAGTCAAAGAGCAGAGATGCCCAAAGAAAATGCAAAGGATTGGCCTCTACAGAAGCTCACGCAAGCGTTACGAGAGCTCACTTTCAAACAACAACCGATAAAGGAAGGTAAAAGTGCTTTGCTGATGGAAGAAAAATAGGTTAGTTTTCATGTATTTCCCGGTAGTGTTATTATTGCTATTTTAACAAACCATTCAGTATTATCACTACTCTAGAAATACATTCGAAAGAACATTGCAGATCCTCCCGATCTTCTTCTTCTTGCTGGCATTCCTGTGGCAGGTCGGCTGTCCAAGAATCCACTGTAACAAGCCTACACAGGAGCTTTATGCCCCTCAACCCTTGGCCCTAAGCCAGCCTGGGAGTGATGAAATGCAAAGTGCCCCCACCCTCCTACCCGCTAGATGTTGAAATTAGCTAGAGGAAGGTAGATAACCTAAGGTGACCTAGTGTTGGGGTTATATTGGGATAATGGAAAATACAATGAAAATTATTATGTAGAGTTATATTGGGGTTATATTAACAGGAACCTTCACTGGTTCCTAGTCCTCCCTTCTACTCCTGAAGAATCCTGAGGCCACGCCCTTTAGGGCATGGTAAATGTAGATGGGCAAGGCTTTTTCTTGCCTCCAGGGCCAAGGCATTTCAACTCAGATCGCCCAGACTTCCTATCGTAGTCCAGAAAGTTCTTGGGTGCACATGAAATCATGCCGGAAAACTTTGCTAAACCCATGCAGGCCGTGTTCTAGTTGGATATACCGTGCCAATCCCCAAGAGGGGATCCCACATGCAATTGTTGTCGTTGCGACCGGCAAGGACCCTTCCGGTGCTAAGATTGGGCATTCGTCATGCTGGTACGTACCTGATCAAGCAGTTGCTTTAGAATGATACACTCCCGGAAACTAACATGGAAACCCAAAAAGGGCCCTATAAAGACTACAGTCCTTCTAAAAGGGTACTATATGGGTTTCCATGTTAGTTTGGGGGAGTGTATGTTTGTGGGTCTGTGAGTTGCTGTGGGAGGGGATGTGCCCTTTTCCTTCGATAACCTACTTAGAACTCCTGGTAGCAGTAGTAGTAAGAAATAATATCAACATTCGGAATACTCGGAATCGTAGTAATATTGTCGTAGTAATAAGGCATACTACCCTAGACCCTAAAGCCTAAACCTTGGCATTGTCCTCCAACAGCAGTAATTTAGCCTGCCGACGCCTTGAGAGCTGGAGAGGCGGCCGTCGGCTTCCGCTGAGGGGCAGAGCACTGACGCGGACAGAGGGATCTCGCTCCCGTTTTTACACCAACAAAGGAGAGCAGGGTTAAGGGCTTTTTTGCAAGGATTTCTCAGATTTTTCCTGTTTTTCTGTATTTCCAGGGGAATGCAGGCTTTGGTGTCGTTTTTCCCTGGCTGGCCTGTTGTCTGCCTTGCAAATTTGAAGATCTAGCTCATCACCGTTCGTAGGGACTGGCGCTACTGTGATATGAGCTATAGTCTAAACTCCCTAAATAAAGGGGGTTATATAGGGGATTGTACAGGAGACTATATTAGGGTTATTAAGGGGATACTAGGAGTTTAGACTATAGCTCATATGATATGACCTCCTCGGTACTGGTTTGCTTGTGAGCCTACGGTCTCGGCAGAGATTGGGAGCCGGTGCGGGCAGGCGTCTGGATTGAAAACGCTCTGGTTCAAGTGAGGGTTCGAGTCCCAGTCAGCCGTCCGCATCATCCAACACCTGAGAAGAAGACAACCATGGCTGCTCGCCGCCTCTTGGCTGCATCTTCAGTAGATTATCAGGTATGAGGGTAGATTGCAAATATGCAAATATGCATAGTAGCTAAGTCGCGCTGGGGGAAGTTGCACGAGTAGATGGCTCCGAACCCAGTGGAGATGCCACCAACGCTGCAAAGCTTGTCAAAGCTTTGTTGAGAGTTGCTAGATGATGGCATCAGCCAATATTGTTTTTCTCAGTATGATTGCCAAGGACCATCATAAAGCCGACAAACCAGACCATGAGCCATAGTCCTCATCTCAAGAGGTAGGAGTAGATTCTGTTAATCCTCGCATGACCCCCATATGTACCCCATTATGTTCCCCCTTGAGCTCCAGAAAGTAGCCCCCTCATCCACGAAAACTCTGAATCCTTAGAACTAGATCTGACGTCCTGAACCACGGCAAGTTCGAACAATTTGGTGTGCCTTTTCAGGGGCCTCTCAGATCGGGACTACAATTTGCCATGGCAGACCGCATCTTAATCCAGCTGGATCTTGACTGGAGTCCTACGGTATACAATTACTCGTTCTATCTTGGCGTCTGAAAGGACACCCCAATGTTGAGGAAACTCCAACGAGTGCGGCTCTCCAAAAATTAGAGATCTTTAGTAGAACATTCTGCATTGCCCACAAATCTACCCATATGAGCTATAGTCTAAACTTCTGAAAGGGGGTTATATAGGGGATTATGTAGGGGACTACTACAGAGGTTATTAAGGGGGATATTGGGAGTTTAGACTATGGCTCATGTGATGATGATGGTCATGATGATGATGATGATGATGATGATGCCTGTAACTTCCTCATTCACCCTTAAACACCAGTAAGTAATTCCTGCAACACCTAGAAGCCATGACTTAAAACCCTGACCTACACCCTAAACCGTAAGCTCTAACCCTCGACCGAAAACGTGGAAACCCTACACCAAAACCCGGCAAGATAAGGCTCCGGTGTCCTGGTTCTTGTTGCCGCTCTGGCGGCCCTGTGCTTCCTGCAGAGCTCCGCCTCATAATTCTACAAACCAAAGGGCTTAGTTTGGGCTTAAGGGTTTAGAGTTTCAGTTTCCGCGTAGAAGACCTGTACGCGATGAGTTTGTGCGCGTATGGGTCGTACCCATGCATGGATTCCAGTTTAAACGCTGTCCTCACTAGGGCTGGTGATGCATGGAATGGGCCGAAGCCACCAAACCTGTCGAAGTGCATGGGTTCCGATGCCCAGGAAGCGCTCTCAGGAGGTATCTGGCTTCAGGCTTTAGGACTGAGGGTTCATTGTCACTCTCCAGTTCTTGAACTTGATGAAATGGTTGGAACATGGCAGCTGAGGAACGCCTTCGTCAGCCCTAGCACTCAGAACCTGCGCGGAGAGGCCTGGTGAAAGAGAGGGAGGGTTGAGGGCTTAAGGGTTCAAGTCCAGAGTTTCACAGCCGAGGTTTTGGGGTGAGTATGAGGCGCAACACCCCTAGCTGAAACTTTTTAAGTGATCCTGCTCCCCAAAGCAGCCTGAATGCTGAAGTACTGAACCCCAAGCCCATAGCCTGAACCCAAATCTTGCACGAGATGCTAAGCCCATAGCTCGATATAAATTGGGGATTTCCAAGATTAGGGGCACCTTCTTGGGGGTCCCCAAAGTAAGGATCGGTTTATATTGGGGTTCCCCTTATTCTGGGAAACTACATGATCTTTCAGCTTTGCAGGTGGAGTCAGACGCAGAATAAATCAAATCCAAGTGTCACCCATACGTGGCTGCATCTACGACGGTGCCCGCTGCAATTTGTTCTTCTTCTGCTGCTGGTGGTGCTTCTGTTTCTGCGGCTGCTGCTTCTGCTACTTCTGTTGTTGTTGTTGCTGCTATTCCTGCTGCTTTTGTGAATTACTCCTAGTCCTTTCACGCTGCTTACTCAAGTGTGCTTATGGTGGCAGAAAACCTCTGGCTGCGCGAGGTCTCCCAGGACGTGGCCAAGGCTGCCGCAGTGGGAGCTGTGCTGGCCACTCCGGAGGCCGCGCACGCCCGGCTGCCCGAGGAGCCCGGCTGCTTAAGGCTAAGGGGTTCAGGGGACCAATGGAGATTCAAACGCAAAATAACATGGCAAATGAAGCAGAAACGCACTTTGCATATTGGTAGGGGTTTGGGTAGGGGTTGTTGGTTCAAATCATGCATCAGCAGATGGAACAGATGGACATCACAGACGTTACGAGATTTGCCATGCATCCTGAAGTATATAGTATATCATATCTCTTCGAGGTCGAAGAGAAGCAAATGTAGGGGTCCAAGCCTGCTTGTTGGAAGGGTCATCGGAAAAGTTGAAGAGACTCTGATCATACAACAAAGGTGGGGAAACAGGCAGTGTGCCAGTGTGCTACGCCAGGGTGTAGGACTCAGAGTATGAGGTTAGCAAGGTGACTTGGGAGGGTTTTATTCTAAGCATACAGGGGGCTTGGCTAAACTGCGGATCTAGTGATTTCTGGGGCTAATGTTTCACCATGTCGGTTTTCTTGTGGTTGTGGTAGCCGACGTGGTCAGGATGTCCGCAATGATGCTTATGTGCGTGAATGGCATTTTGCATCCAGAAACCTTTGCCCCACTTGGGACCAATGGAACACCACATGGACAAGAACAAGGGAAATTAAATGAACACTGAGATTATTGCCATATAGTACGGTATAGGGATGTGGTCGCTGATTCATTGGAGACAGGATAGCACCATTTGCCCAACCTCTTTGCATGTGGTTACCATCTCCATCCGTCTGGGGTTTGGGGTTTGAGGCCGAAGCTGTTCTGCCCTAAGCTCTTAGAGGTCCGTGCCTGAAAAATTGAAGCCGAGCGAAGGAGTTTGTGATCTTTGCCCCGATTGTGGATGTGCTCCCGGCCGCGTGCTAAGATGGGATAGCATGATTTGCGCCAGTGGCTTGTAGTACTACGGGGGGTTGCCAGGCATGTGTTGGTTGCTGGCCAAACCTCTTCGCAAGCGCGCAGTTTGGCAAGTTTTCTGCTGAATTACTGACAGTAACTTCTGCGCAATCTCAAGTTTGAGGACCTAGCTTTGGGAGCCTTCAAGCTTGCGTTGCACTCTTTTCGTTTCATCCGAATTCTAGGGCAATCCACGCAGGAATACCCTAAAGCTTGGGGTGGCTCTGCTGCGGAGTAGGATGCTCTGCAGAAGGTATGATGCAGAAGCATGCAAGCTGCTCACGCAAGCATGTATAGGGGTGGAAGAATGTCTGACGTAGCAGCCACAGTTGATCACTATCATAAACGGGCATGCTGTAGTCCCCAATGCAGACTGAGATGATTATAGATTATGCTCACACCTGGCTTCAATGTTTAATACAAGAAGCACATAAAACCATCCCTAGTTCAGCCACCAAGAACACCCCTCACGTAAGATCGCCAGGCAGGCCGCCACACACCATGTCTCAGATGAGTTCCATAGCTCCCCCCATACAGCCAGACTCATCTTTCAGTGCAGAGGATCGTAAACAAGTTCACAGGAGTTGTGATTTCTAAAACTGTAGAGGCCACATTTTGAAACCCTTGAATGTACGGCCACACTCTGACCTTTGCAGATCCTTCCGATCTTCTTCTTCTTGCTGGCATTCCTGTGGCAGGCTGGTTGATCCAGACTCGACGCTATCCGATATGCCTAATACCCTAGGAACTACTGTATCCTGGGGTTGCTAGTGGTACAAGATTTTCTCCACCTGCCGTAGAATTCCTACTCAAATCTAGTTCAACCCAGCGTAAAATTCACGGAGCACCAGGGTTTAGGGGTCCGCCTTTTTTCGGGCATTGTCTCGCAGCTGCCTGGGCTAGTTTTACCGCCATTTTCCACGCTAGTATGTCAATCCAACCCTAAACCCTAAACCCCATAATTACGCTGGACCTCATGCCCTACACCAAACCTACAATCTCGATGATTCTGAACACTGAAATCTTACGGCCCTAGATTCCGTGGTTTCTAAACCAAAAGGTGCTGAAAGCCACAACAATCTCTCAAGATCATCATCTAGCTGATGGTTACCAAAACGGGTGCTCCTGCTTCCTAAGTTCCTCCTGCACCTGATATTTCTGCTTGTACCATGTCTGCTTGACGGTCAAGAAAATCACCATGATCATCGTGATTTTGAGGATTTTTGCCTCATTGCAGTTTTTTCCCTGGTCATTAAGAATACAACTTGTAGTGTCGCAATTTATGTACTCGAAAGCTGCACAGGCGGCCGTCGGCTTCCGCTGAGGGGCCAGGCACCGGCGATGCGGACAAAGGGACCTCGCCCGTTTTTTCACGAAAAGAAGGTTTGGGGTAAAGTGCTTCGTAGCGAGCATTCCCATGGCCACAATGAGGGCAAAGATGGCGATGATGCATGATGATCGTAATATGCCACTAGTCAAGGCTCAGCGGCGATGACAAGGATGACAAGTACGGCGACATGTTTTTTCATGACACATATGTATATGTATAAATAAAGAAATATGTATATATAT